AGAAACTTGCTCCATGCCATTGTATGCTTGCAAGTTGTGCGGTTCAGCAGTGATGTGATGAGATGCACCGGAGTCGAGAATCCAAGGATTTGGTGCTGTTTGCATGGCTGAAATGTAGTTGGCCTTGGCCTCATAATGGTTATGAGATTCGGACCTACATACACTTGCAACGTGTCCTACTTTGTTGCATAATTGGCATCTAACATGTCCAGAGTTGGTGGTGTTTGAATAGCGTGACTGCTGGTTGGTAGGAGCAGATCGATTGTTGTATCGCCACTGCTGGTTGTTGCTGCTGTTGTTGTTAGCGGTGCGCCTATTGTTCCGGTTGGTGGCAGGAGCAGGCTTATTTTGTGAAGCATAAGCTGCAGTGATTGAGCTAGCAGGTTTCTTTGACTCTTCATGCCTCAAGAAAAGTTCATGATCACGGAGCTTTTCATAGAGTTCTTCATAGGAAATTGTAGACTCACGAGCCCGAATAGCTGCTGAAATTTCACGAAACTCTGGACCCAGACCGCTAAGAATCTTAACGATGAGTTCAGAGTTTGTGACCGGGGCACCAGCAGTCGAGAGTTCATCAGAAAGAGAGCGAATATTTTGTAGATATTCGGTGACTGGTTGGGAATCTTTATTGAGTCTCGCAAGACGATCACGAAAACTAAAGATTCTAGTTTGCGACTTGTTTGCATAGGCAGTGTGTAATGCATCCCATCCTTTCTTCGCAGTCTCAGCAGTTGCAACAGTAGTGGCAATTGTTGGATCAACGGATGCCATGAGTGCATTTTGAATTAGTTGATCTTGGCGGAACCAAAGAGCATATGTTGGGTTGACACTAGTGACTGTGCCTGTTGTGATAGTGCTGGATGGAGCAGGAGTAGATCCATCTAGATGACCAAAGAGATCATGGCCGTGCATGAGCATGGAAAATTGTGCCTTCCATGTCGTAAAATTATGACTTCCAGTTAGTTTAATCGGAAGTTGGGATGCAGGATTGAACTGGACAATAGTCGTGGTGGTGTTATTATCAGCATTGACTACGCTGGTGGTGTTGGCCATTTGTGGAGGGTGGGAGGGAAAAAGAAAATAAGGATCTTACTCGTTAGAGTGTTATTTAGGCTCTTGATACCATATAAAGACTTGAAAGTAAAGGCTTGAAAGTGATGATCTTTATTGAGTCTTCAATGACCTTTAAATACAAGAAGCAAATAACTAACTCCCTAAGCTAACTCCTCTGATGGAGGAGAACGTAACAACTTAACAACACTAACTCCCCTAAATAAGAGACTTATTGTAATCTAAAACTAGCAACTAAGTAGGAACTAAATCTTAACAACTCAACTAAATAAGAGGTAAAAGAGTAACTGCTACTGCTGCATATGTGCTAATACTAGCAAGTCTAATAAAGAGTGTACATCCTCCCTATAACTCTCTTTACACCAAAAATGGAATAACAAAAAACAATTAAGCTTAATTTTCTGGTAAGAGCTAGGTCTATCTTTAAAAATTTTGGCATTCCTTTCTTTCCAGATGCTCCACCAGATACAAGCAGGAACAATTTTCCACCATTTCTTCTGTTTAATATTTGCCCCTCCATTGTTCCAGCTACTGAGAAGAGCTGCAGTGTTTACGGGCATTGACCAAGATATACCAGCCAAATTAAGATAGAAGTGCCACAGTTGGGTAGTGACCGGGCAGTGAATAAAGAGGTGGGAAACTGATTACCCATCTTTGCCACAAAAACTGCATCTAGCTTGTAGCTGGATTCCTCTCCTAAGGAGGTTATCCCGAGTTAGGACAACTTCCCTCGCTACTAACCATGTGAAGCATTGAACTTTTGTAGGCACCCCGACCCTCCAAATTTGTTTCCATGGCCAACCTTGCGCAGGATTAGGAGTATTGTTAATGAAATGATAAGTAGATTTCACTGAAAAAGAACCTGATTTGTGACCCTCCCAGATTAAAGCATCTTCCTCTTCCGTGAGACCTTGGAAAGCTTCTAAGGTCTCCCAGAAATCTGCCACACTCTGCAACTCCCAGTCATTAAAATTCCTTCTGAAGACAATGTTCCAACCATGTATGGATTTTGCATCTGCTACTGAAATTCTTTGATTTTCAACAATGCTATACAACTCTGGAAATTGTTCTTTCATAGGAATGTGCCCAAACCATGTGTCACACCAGAAAAGAACTCTTCTACCGTTTCCAACCTTGAAACTGGAATGGTCAGCAATGAAACCCCATTGCCCCCTGATTGTTTTCCAGACCCCCACTCCATGAGGGGATGCCACTGGTTTGGTGCACTAATGTCCTCCCCAGCCATACTTCTCTTGAATTGCCCTTCTCCATAAAGCTGTTTCCTCCAAGTTATAACTCCATAACCATTTTGCCAGTAGACTATTATTCTGAGCCTTTAGATTTCTGACACCTAGGCTCCCTACTTGCCTCGAGCACAAAAGAGTATCCCAATTGACTAAGTGAATAGTCCTTTTCTCACTGTTACCTTGCCAAATGAAATTCCTTCTAAGGGAGTCAATCTTTTTCCTCACCTTAGTAGGAATTGGGAATAAGGACATCACATAGGAAGGCAATGCATCTAAGACACTATTTACCAGAGTCACTCTGCCTCCGAGTGACAGATATTGACTCTTCCATCTTGACAATCTTTTTTCACTCCTTTCAATCACCCCTTGCCATATATCTTGCGACTTGTTTTTGTAGCCCAAAGGGAGGCCTAGATATTTGGTAGGAAGGTTTTCTAGTCCACATTCCAGGACATTTGCCAGGTCCTGAATGTTTGGGACTTCAGTAACCTGAAAAAGCTTACTTTTTCCCCAGTTCACATGCCTGCCACGGCTTCGAAGGTTGTTAGAATTAGTCTGAGGTGCAGCATCTCTTCTGGTCATCTGTATATAGAAGATGAGAGATCTCTAGGCTGCTATTCCGTCTGTTAGAAACCTTGAAACCCTTGATCCAGCCATTTGCCTTTGCAGTGTTTAACATCTGGTTCAGCCCCTCCATTGCCATCAGGAAAAAAAAGGAGATAAAGGGTCCCCTTGCCTAAGCCCCCTTTGTGAAGAGAAAAAGCCTTGGGGTGAGCCATTTATCAGGATAGAGAACTTAACAGTGGTAAGACAGAAACGGATCCAGTTAACCCATTTAGATCCAAAACCCACATCAGCCATTAGTCTTAGAAGGAAATTCCAGTTGACATGATCATATGCCTTCTCTATATCCAGCTTGCAAAGGACACCTGACACTTTGCTTTTGAGCCTAGAATCGACCACCTCATTTGCTATCAGTGAGGCATCCATGATTTGTCTGCCTTTTATGAATGCCATTTGATGACCACCAATGAGTTTGTTGATGACAAACTTTAACCTCTCGGTTAGCACTTTGGCTATAATTTTGTAAACGCTTCCAATCAAACTAATTGGCCTGAAATCTTTAAGCTCTCTTGCTTCATTCTTTTTTGGAATGAGAGCCACGAAAGATGCATTAAAACTCTTCTCGAAGAGTTCATTAGAATGAAAATTCTTCAGAGTTGACATGACATCTTCCTTGGTACATTTTTTTCAACATGTGTATAACTAATGCTTGTATTAGTTATACATCATACTTGGTATTAACCTGTGTATAAGCAATGCACAGTAAACCATGACATTAGTAATACCAAGGTTGTTAATGCATGCATTAATATGGTTAAAGGAAAAAAAAGACAATATTATATAGTTTGTGTGAATACCTAAAGCCAAAAAAAATCACAAATACTCATCACAACACATATGGAACATCTTTTGAATAAAGTCTCCATAGCAATATCTAAAACTAGAGTAATACCACATGGAATTCCAAAATAAAACTAACTTGAAAAGAATAAAAAGAGAATGAATAAGAACTTTGAAGACAAGCGTGGAATTAGAGCAAATGTTGGAGGACAAAGCTTTTGTTTTGTACTTTGCACTTTACAGACAAAGAGAAAGAATTATGAAATTAGGGTAAACACTTAAAAGAGACCTTTGACTTTTGAGTTATTTTAGTTTGAGAATTTAAAATTAGCTTACTTCTTAGTATTATAAGTATTAAAAAAAGAAAATTTTAAGCAATTTTGATTCCGATTTGGGAAAGTTTTTTGGGCTTATGCCCCAAATAAACGCCCGAAAGGTTGGGACTTGTGCCCACAATTGCGCCTCATCAGTCCACCTCAATATGTTTTTTCTAGCCTCGCCTAGAAAATGTTTTTTGAAACATTTGATAAATTAGTAATATCAAGAAGTCTAGAGGCACTTATGATGGTGTAATTTTAACTTTGTTCTATCTTAGAGAATTAGCGACAAGCCTAGAGGTTAACTGTGATATTTAATTTCGGCTATGTCTGTGTTATCCATTTGATGATTGTCATGGTAGAAGTGATACATGTTATTTATACTTAACCATCTCATGGAATTGAGTTTTGCGATTGTAATTGTTGAAGTGCGTGACCATCTCATCTAATAGGTTTAAGCGGTTAGAGAGCACACTTTTAATTATGTAATCTAAGTCTTCAACATGTCCACTTACGTGCGGGCTTGATTCTTTTTAATGAGCCAAACACGTAAAAATTGTTTTTGATAATGTGTGGTGGTGAAACTCGAATCAAGGATTTTTGCCTGCTCTGATATTATGTTAAAGTGTGTGACCATCTCATGTCAAAGCTTAAGTTGTTAGAGAGAGCACTTATAATTACTTAACTAAGCCTTCAATAGTCATTTAGAGAAACAATTCGCGAGAATAGCTTCTCAAAGGTAATAGAATTGGTCAGTCTGTACTTGACATCATGAACCCATGTCATGACAACAAGCTTTCGTTGAGTTGTTGCTTGTGCTTCTTGTTGGTAACATTTATTTGAAATTTGTCTTGGATTTAGGAACTTTTGTGATTACACTTTTAATGGAAATTGCTGAATGAAACGTGAAAAATGATTACGGTGAGGGAGATGATGTCACCATTGTTTATGTATTGTTAAGGCCAGTTGTTGCTCGGAGAGGAACTATAAAGGAGCCAGTGAAATGTAGTGGCCTTCCTGGCCATCTATCCATTGGTAGAATCAAATTTCAAAAGCTAGGAGAAGAAATGGTACGCATTTCACTGCACAAATAACCTCCTCTCCCTTAATTTGCGATCTGTTGATCCAATGTGATAGTTCAATTTCTGTTGTAAAGAGAAAAGCAGTATCAACATCACACCACTCCCAGAGTAACACAATCGAACATGAGATGGCCGTTGAATGGCGTGTACTACAGGAAAAGTCAAGCCTTTGGTGGAAAGCTTTACATGAGGTGATTATGAAGAGCTTATTTTCTACCTTTCCTCTTATGCTTAATATTTTCTCCAAATCACTGATGACGGGGGCAAATCCAAGATGTTACCGAGGGTGTTAGGTGTGTGTATAAAAGTAATATTTGACATTGTATAATTTTTCGGCCTAGAGTGTTCCCTTCCGCCTATATACCTCCGCTCCTACTTGCTGCCATTTGCCTGTCCTTTCTAAGTCTATCCGTTTTTCTTGTTGCAAGAAACAAGCAGCAGAGATTGAACTACTTAGGGGCAAGTTGAAGAGCCCTATTTGGAACTAAACCTGTATAGGATCTAAACGTAAGTTTAATCCACTTTTCACCTTTTTAGTCTTTTTTACCTTTGCCATGATTATTCTTTTTCTCGTCCCTGTAGTAGTGTTAAGAGGATTGACATCATTTCTTTTCCACAGGGACTCTTTTTGTTGGTTTCCTTGTGTACAAGCGGTATACAGAGGGTGCCCCTTTTTTGGATATGGGATTGCACCTAAGCATAGAGTAGTACAGAGATTACAGATTAGTATTATCTGATGATAGAATGCAATTCTTTTTGCGCAGCACAATACTGCATCTTTTGTAGTTCACTGTATTGCTGTGAATTTGAGAGTTGTTAGCAGTTCCCTATAGGAAATTGGTGCGGTTTGACTTTCTTCCCACACCAGATGTTTTTTCTTCAAAATCCAATATTAAGTCATTAATCATATATCTACTTTAGAAAAACATATATCTACTTAATTTATCTTTATACTCCATAGGAGAGACAAAGACACCATAGTAAGCTAAGTAGCAACATAAAAAAAAATTCACTTGGCTATTTTAGGACATATTTAGTTAAGTTAGGTAACAATTAGTTTCTTTTTGAATTTAAATTTTAAAAACATTAAATTATTTATTATTTATTATTAATAATTAGTTACTCTTTTTGAATTTGAATTTAAGTATAGAAGAAAAGTCTAATTGCTTATTCCATAAAATGTAGAAAAAAATCAAATATCGATACATTTATAAAAATAAAAATAAAAACATATATTTTGGACGAAGTAAGAAATTTTATTATCTTTGTTATATTAAAGGAGATATCTATATATTATATATTATATATACATAATAAAAGGAGAGGCAAAGTATTAAGCCAGGTGACAACATAATAAAAATTCACTTACATCTCATATAGCTTCGTAAATGCAAAAAGTACTTTTGAGCAGTAGCTGAAGCAGTTTTTCTATTTTTGGGGAATAACTATAAATTCTAACTTCTTCCAAGAAGCAGAAGCAGAAAATAAAATTGTTCAAAACAAAAATAAGCTTACAATAAATTTATATTTTTCAAATTCTCTCTCATTAATTTTTTCTTTTTCTTTTTATTTCTACTATACATTACTTCTTTTTTTATTTATTTAATCATATTTTTATTCTCTTTCTCCTATTCCTAAGAGTGGATTTTAATTTATACTAAATGATGTATTTTGACATATTTAAACTATTATGTAAATAATAAGTAATACCAAACACTTGGAGCTTGTTTGGCCATAAATTTTTTTTTTCACTTTTTTTTACTTTTTTTTCGGAATTAGTGTTTGGCCATAAAATTTTCAATTTTCACTTTAAGATGAATTTTGGATTGTTTCAAAAAAAAATTAAAAAACTTTAAAAAGTTGTTTTTCAAAATTTACATTCAGATCACTCACAAAAATTCAAAAAAACAACCCCAAATTATAGTGCCAAACACAACTCTAATTTTCAAATACCATTTTCACTTAAAATAATTTCACTTTTTTTCGAAATTTTACTATTCTTATGTCCAAACGCCCACTTAATGTTATTTTTTTTAAACACGTCTTCACCATGCTCTCAGCTCACATTAGCTAAACGTGCGTCGAGTGTGGCTGCCATAGCTAGGGGCGAGGTAGAGGAAGAGGAAGACCTAGGAAGGTTCTTAAGACACCGATCTCTAACATAAGAAGCTCAATTAGTAACAATTTGAAGGCTAGACAGGACATGCAGACACCGAAGCAACACGACGGAGTTGGAGAAGGAAAGGGTGAAATTGATCCATCAAATAGCTCAGAAATTAGTCGGAAACTGGTACTCAGCACTTCAATTCAACCTAAGCAAAGCTCGATGAAGGAAAATGCTGAAATAGAAGGTAGCTCAAATGGAACAGTAACAGATGTGGCGATGCAGGTCAAACCAAACAAGGAAACTGGAATCGAACAAAGAGAGGAAGCTAATGGATGCAGAGATGAAGTGAATACAGTGGCTAATGAGATGAACACTACAAATCGGCGACCTGAGCGCAAAATGTGGTCAAGTCTGTTTCAACCAAATCGAGTATCTACTCATGGAATGGCATTGAAATATGTGCCTTCTCAGATTATAGATGGACAAATTGCGGTACAACTTGAGATGCAAGATGTGAAGGAAGCAGAAGAGAGGTGGAGTGCAGCAATGATCGCTTATATTGTGGGTGAAAATCCAGGATATAATGCTATGGGAAGGTATATTGCTCAACACTGGCTTCATATTGCACAACCAGATTTGTTTCTTCATGAAGATGGCTATTATGTTATAAAGTTCCAAATTATATCTGATATGCATAAAATTTTATATGCTGGTCCTCATACTATACGAAATAGGCCAATAATTCTCAAGCCTTGGACCCCAGATTTTGATATTAGCAAGGAAATTTAACTGATATTCCCCTATGGGTGATGTTTCCAAAATTGCCAATGAGCTGTTGGGGGAAGGAAGCATTACGTAAAATTACTAGTGCTATTGGTAAGCCCTTGTTTGCTGATGAGTGTACCACTAAGCAAACAAGAATCTCTTATGCAAGGATGCTTATTGAAGTAAATGTGACTAAAACCTTGCCTACTGAGATTATGGTGATGGACCCTAGAGGAAGAAGGTTTCAACAGGAGATAATATATGAATGGAAACCACTATATTGTGAAATGCCAAACTATAGGGCATATATGTCATACACAGCAAGGACCAAAAGATCAAAAGGAGATACAACCAAAAAGGAGAAGAGAGCCAAAGAAAGTTACATATGAGTGGAGAACCGAAGGGCCTGCTACAACTGTGAATGCAGAACAGGCACAGCCAAGACCAGCTGATATGGAGGTACCTCAGATGACAGAGAAGCCAATAGCAATTGACAAGGAAGGACCCCAGCAATGTTTATCATAGCAAATGCAACAAGCAAGACAATATCAGTCAATTGGAGACAAAGGGAGCACTGGCACAGAGATTGTGGACAAGGGGAAGAACAAAGCTTTGGAGTTAAGTCTTGAAAACTTTCCCAATTTAACTCCACTGCCTAGTAGAAGTAATGCAAAAAGAGGAGCAACAAGTACAAGTGGACACCCTAACCTGCCTCATGACAGAGGTGGGGTATTCAAAACTCAATAAATGAAGTGGATCATCTGGAATGTTAGGGGTATCAATAAATGGTATAAGAGGAAGGAGCTGAAGAATTATCTGAAAACCAAAAATATAAAGCTAGTAGGGATCATTGAAACAAGAGTTAAGGAGAAAAAGGCTAGAGAGGTTAGCCAGGACATAACACCTGGATGAAAGATGATAAATAACTACAATGCTGCAGTAAGTGGTAGGATATGGGTTATATGGGATTCTAACTACTATACAGTGAAGGTGATTAAAGCAGAAGCACATGTTGTTCACTGTACTGTCACAAATGCTATGAGAGATGAAGAATGTGCAATCTCTATAGTATATGGGTATAATATAGTTGAACAAAGAAGACAGTTATGGGATAATCTAAAAGCAATAGATCAAATGACAACTATTCCTTGGATAATTAGGGGAGACTTTAATGCTGTTCTGCAACTGCAAGATAGAAAGCATGGGAATCCAGTTACAAGAGCTGAAATCCAAGACTTCAGCAATTGTATTCAGGAATTAAAGTTAAATGAACTGAATTGGGAAGGTGACTACTATACTTGGTCCAACAAGCAAGATGATGGGGACAGAATATGGAGCAGAATAGATAGAGTCTTTGGGAATTATGAATGGATGATGCAATGGGGGCATATAGTAACTGTATATGATCTGCCATTTATATCTGATCATGCCCCTATGTGTCTGACATTTAATGAGATACAGAGAAGCAAGAAGATTCCTTTTAAATTTTTTAATGTTTGGGCTGACCATGAGAGATTTATGCCTGAAGTACAACAGATCTGGAACCAAAAGTTTCACAGGCAGAAAATGCAGAATGTGTGGATGTAACTCAAAGCTTTAAGGACAATATTGAAAAAGCTTAATGTAGAGGAATTCAAGTTTATTAAGAGGAAGATAGAGCAGGGCAGAATTGAGCTGGAACATGTGCAAAAACGCATAGATGCTGATAGCAATTATGACCTGCTAAGGAAAGAGAAGGAGTTGATGCAGAATTTGGAGAAAATGGAGTATGATTGAAGAAGGAGCTTTGAAGCAAAAAGCCAGGGCAAAATGGATTCAGTTGGGTGACTCTAATACTAGATATTTCTATGCTGTAATGACAGAAAGGAATCAAAGAAAGCAAATTGTAGAGCTGCAAGCCATTGGAGGTAATAAAATCACTGATGCAGAAAGTATTCAAAAGGAGATAGTTGACTTCTATAAATCACTGATGGGAACTGCTGCTCAAACCCTCCCTGCTATAGATAAAATGGTTATGTGTAATGGAGCTAAACTCACTCAACAACAAAGAATTGAGTTATGCAAAGATGTGACTACAAAGGAAATATATGAAGGATTGTGCTCAATTGGTGATGATAAAGCACCTGGTGTGGATGGTTACAATGCAGTTTTCTTCAAAAGAGCTTGGCCTACTGTAAAAGATGAAGTTATGGAAGCTGTTATGGATTTCTTCAAGTCTGGAAAGCTGTATAGAGCCATAAATTGTACAGCTATAACCTTAGTGCCCAAGGTGTCCAAGCCTAAAACTGTTAAGGAATTCAGACCTATAGCCTGTTGCCCTGTCTTGTACAAAATGATATCCAAAGTTCTAGCAGCCAGGTTACAAGGTGTTATGGGTACAGTGATCAATGAAGCTCAAGCAGGATTCATTCCTGGGAGGAAAATAGAAGATAATATTATATTGGCACATGAACTGGTGAAGGCCTATACTAGGAAAAACTTATCTCCTAGATGTATGATAAAGATAGATCTTCAAAAAGCTTATGATTCTGTGGAGTGGTATTACATGAAGCAAGTGATGGAGGAACTGGGATTTCCCCAGTTATTCATAGCCTGGGTTATGGAGTGTGTTCAGACAGTCAACTACTCAATTGTAGTTAATGGTGAGCCAACAAAACCTTTCAATGCTACAAAACGACTGAGGCAAGGTGACCCTATGTCACTATACTTATTTGCCATTGCAATGGAGTACCTAAGCAGGAATCTGACTAGTTTGAAGAAGGAGAAAGAGTTCAAATATCACCCTAGGTGTGCAAAGCTAGGGATCACTCACCTAAGCTTTGCAGATGATCTACTTCTATTTGCTAGGGGTGATTTGAAGACAGTGAAAGCAATTCAACAGAAGTTCAATCAGTTCACTCAAGTCTCAGGTTTACAAGCAAATCTTAGTAAAAGTGAAGCTTATTTTGGAGGGGTTCCTGTGACAGAAAGGCAGCAAATTCTGCAGATGCTGGGACTTGCAAGTGGTGAACTCCCCTTCAAGTATCTAGGAGTTC